GAGCCACATGACGGAGGGAATCGGGATGGGTGACGACGAGTGCGGGTATGACGAATCCCAGCGCCTTCCGAGGCAGCCGTTGCCGGAGTTTATGGGGACGGGCGGAGGAGTCGGGGTGTATAAGGTGCCCGTTCGGGCAGCGGTGCACCCGAGCAGACCACCGTGTCTCGAGCTCAGGCCGCACCCTCTCAGAGAAACTCAGGTTTGATTAGTTTTTGATGGATTTGTTCTGTTTTTTGTTTTATTTTCGCAATGTCACAAGGTCTATTGGTATGATCACCATTTATAATAATTTCACTATTTGTTTCTATGGTTCTTTGCTCTGTCAAGTTATAGGAAGGGCCATATGTGTTGTGCCCTTTATTAAGCACATTTGTGCACACTTTGCATGAAAATGGAATTCGTTTATGGAGTGGATAAGAATTGAATCGACAAACCTTTTACAGGGTGGTAGGTTTATACGGACGATTACAAGCACGGAAACACAATTGTGGGCAGGGATGGAATCTGGTGTACGAGTGTGGAACTATTCGGACGCGTACGAGCCAGGGATTGGGAATGGAATTGGGTCTGGAAGAAAGGTTCCGAGAGGGGACGAGGATGCTGCCCCATTTTATGAATCGGCAAACTTGTCGTCCACGTTGTGCTTGAAGATCGACCAAGGGAGTAAGCTTGTTTGGAGCGGGCACAAAGACGGTAGAATAAGGTCTTGGAAGATGGATCAGAGTTTCTCGGACGGGTCTGCTTTCAAGGAGGGTTTTTCTTGGCAGGCGCATCGGGGTCCGGTTCTTTCCCTAGAGATTTCTTTCTACGGTGAGTCTCTTTGCATTTGAGTGAAGTGTTCGCCAGATAATGAATGCAAGTCATGTTTGGGTGGTTACTCGATAATTTTCTTGTACTTAAGATTACTAGATTTACTTAAAGAAGACAGTGATATAATTTCCTTGTCTATATGTTCATTCATGTTAAGATCACTTTATGCCTGCCCATATACCGCTTCAACTTGCAATTGATGAGTTCAGTTGCTATATATTTTGTTAACTCACAAATCATAAGTTGCCGAGTATCTTTCATAGCATCAAACTTTTTTGTTTTTTTACTTGAACTTGCAATTTGATCACAGGTGATGTCTGGTCTGGTTCTGAGGGTGGTGTTATAAGGGTGTGGCCGTGGGAGTCCATTGAGAAATCTCTTTCTCTATCATCTGAGGAAAGACGCATGGCTGCCGTGCTGGTGGAGAGATCAGTCATCGACCTGAGAACCCAAGTAACAGTTAACGGAGTATGTAACATATCATCTTCAGACGTGAAATGTATGTTATCTGACAACGTCCGTGCCAAAATTTGGGCCGTTGGGTCTTTATCCTTCTCCCTTTGGTATGTAATCTCACGTGACCTCCGTACTTTGACATGATACAATGTGAAAAATACTTCAATTTTTCTTTAATTTTTCCTAGTGTTTAACTATTGTGTAATATCAGGAACGCGCGCACTAGAGAGCTCATAAAAGTATTCAACATTGAGGGCCAGGTTGAGAACAGGGTGGACATGCCGTCTTCCCAGGACCAGGCGGTGGAGGACGAGATGAACGTGAAGTTTGTCTCGAAATCCAAGAAGGACAAAAGCCAGGGGTTCCTGCAGAGGTCCCGCAA